CGAAATAGGAAAGAGACATTTATTTTGAAATGGACTAAAGGAAAGTAAGACAAATGAATAGAAACAGAGGGAGCATCACTTTCACTTAGTTTTTCTTTTGTCCAACTTTTTATCATCAAAAATACATACTACTTATGGTCGATATTCAATTTCTAGATGCGTCGATGAAGGTCTCCTTGTCACCATTTTGTGTTGATGATAACTGTGAAAAGAACAAAGAAGTCTACAATCATAGCATTTGATTAGAACACATTATAAGTTAAGGTTAAACAAGTGTACCGTTAAACTCCATTGATTTAGCATCCACAACTGGCGGTTAGGCCTGACACCAACTTCCACAATCCACTAGCTACTTCGATGGATGGGCGTTAACTATTACCACATATTCAACAAATAAATATGCTAGGCTTCTTTCTGATAGCTAGGTAAACGGGGGTTAACTAGGGTTCTTTCTGGGCCACGTCACTGTCTTTTGAGGCTATAACCAATTAACGTAAGTCCAAATTCTAACAGTAACATTTAGCATATTTCCTTAAAAGAAATGCTGCGGTAATAGGTGTCAGTGTCGTTTGTTTTAAGGCAGAGATGCTAATTAAACCTTACTATTCATGTGGTGAAACTAATATGACAATTCATCGGTGTATTAACTCGAGGATCAGATAAAAAAACTGTGAATTTTTTTGTTCATTAGTACTTATGCTAAATACTTACTTTGGATGCTTTCAGTTTTACTGATAATGCAGGCCTTTGTGGTATTCCTGGGTTACCAACATGTGGACCACATCTTACTGTTGGTGCCAAAATCGGCATTGGCTTAGGGGCGTGTGTCGCTGTTGTAGTTATCGCTACATGCATAACATGTTGGTGGAAAAGGCGGCAAAATATCCTCCGCGCTAAAAGAATGGCTGGTAAGAGTTTTTCAACATAACATGCTCTATATCCATATTCAAATGTATTTCCCATCTCTTCCATGTATTGTTGTCAACATGGTGTTTTAAAGAAATGAATTTCGAGTGAAGATGTATCTCTACACGATGAAATTAAACGAGTTTCATGCTTTCTCATAGATGAATCACTGTGTTTTTTTCCTCTTCATTTTTTATACAGTGAGAGACGCTCCTTATGCGAAGAAAAGAACACATTTAAACCACATCCAAATGACAAGACACCATCACAATGGTCATCATCACGAACATACTCGGACAGCTGTTGAGAATGGACCTCCTTTGCTTGTCTGAGTTCGAACAATTTTTGAGTCAACTCACACTAGAAACTTCTTTCACGTCAAGAGGATTCAACAATTTATACATATACCAACAAAAACATTGTTCGTATCCTACTCATAGTATAATTTTTTGACAAAGGAAGGATCGTATGAATCCCATCCGCAGACCTTGTAACTCCATCGCAAGCTTAGTGAGAAGATTTCCAGATACAATGCTGCTGTTTTGTGGCTAGAAAATGTGTATAGTGGTTATGCAGATCAGGAATCAATTATAAATGCCATAGATGTAATTCAGTGCAAGAGATCTATGTTGTTCGGACTCTTCAAAAATGTCGACGGGTGCGTGTCGGATCCTCTAAAAATAGTGTATTTTTGAAGGATCCGACTCGGGTGCGGCAACATTTTTGAAGAGTCGGAGACAGTGTGTTGTATATTTTAACTATATACATGTATTCTTGTCATCAGTTTTGGAGCTTTTGGTTAAAGACACTCGTGTAAACTGTGAAATGGTGAATTTCAGTAGAACCACAGAATGTGATCGCATTATACGGTCTCAATTGAACAGATTGAGTAAATTTTCGTGTACCTCGATATGGTAAGTGAGTGGAATCAACTTCACTTGGATGTTGAAATTGAACAAGGAAGAGAATATGAGCTTAAACAACAATAACCAACTCAGTGAAATCCCACTAAGTGGGAATAGGGAGCTTAAAAGGAAAACTTTTTTTATCATATTTTCTTTTTTAAATTATCTATCGTATTTCTCTTTTACATGCCTTTTAAGGAATATCAATCATTAGGAACTTTTGACTATTTAAACATCATTTATGTCCTAAATATTTTATTTATTTAGTTGTTTGTACATTTTCTTCAAAAACAATTACCACTAACGATAAAATAAGAAAAAAGTTAGTTTTTTTTCTCGAACTTCTAATTGACAAATAATATTCCTTCCTTTCCATCTTATTTGACAGTATTTCTTTATTAGTTTTTTAATAAAAAAAAAGTAAGATAATAAATAAAATATGGTAATTAAATAATAAATTAAAGAAAGATTAAGTGAGATTGGTAAACCACAAAATACTAGGACCCATAAAATGCGGCAGCCGCGTTTCCATTTCATTTTCCACATGGGCCCTTTCATGGTCTCCTAAACTATTTTTGGTAGTAAAATAAAGTAAGTGAAATATGATCGGAAGGTCATGAGTTTTGACTGTGAAAATATTTTTTAATTAAAAAATATAAATAAAATAATAAATTTGTCGAGGTCATTTGGTAGATGATTTGGAAGTGAATTATTTGATATTAAATTTTATATAAGTAGTATCATATTTAATAATATAGATTATTTATGTATAAAATTAATAGTATGACGTTTGATTTGTAATATAGAATCTATATATTACTGTATTTTATATAAAATGGAGGTGAAAATTATTAATACGACAATAATAATATGTGGAGCTTGAAGACAAATCAAATATAGCATAGTAAAAGTGGTACTAACCTCAATGTATGAGCTTGTAAGATTCAGACCTTCGATCCTTATGGGTCAATCTGATTTTGAACTTCAATGCCGGAAGGCTAGTAAAATTTCAGTTATAGTTCAAGATAAGTTAAAGAGTGTAACCGTTTTTTGAAGAATTCACAATTTTTTTCAGCGATTACACAGTTTTATATGTAACGGAAATAACGTGTAGATGTAGATCACTATGGGAACATAATTCACGTGAGACATTTCCTAGAATTTCGCTTTAAATGTATTTGTATCCCTTATTCGTATTTCATTACAATTTTCATTGTTTGCTTGTTGTTATTGAAGTTCTATAACCTAAATCTCTCAAGCTGTGTTTTTTCGATGGACGCTATCGGACTATCATATTGGCAAATATGCTAATAATATTTGTTACTTATATCGTATCAATTACTTTATTACCTATTATTTTCACTTGTTACCTTAACTACGTTTAACAATCAAAATAACATTAATAATGTTATTATTTGATCATCTCAATTTGCATGTTTTTGAACGACATCAAAATTTTGATTTAGGGATAAACAATTATCATATAAAATGACACACATATATGAATAATATATTTTTTAATGCACTCGTTTAATTTGTTCAATGTTTTATTTTACTTAATTAGATATACTAGACAAGAGTTTGGCTTAAAATATATGCTTATTTAATTTTAGCTTGGATTAACAATATTGTCTTTTTAAAGTAAAAATCGATAATGTGTCACAACTTGGGACAACGAATTATGCATTATATATATATTCATCATAATCCACTTGTCCAAACATGTAACTATCTATTAATATTCATAAAATCTACTCCCTCTGTTTAAAAAAGAATGACGTCATTTCCTTTTTAGTCTGTTTAAAAAAAATGACTCTTCTTTTTTTGGCAACACTTTAACTTCAACTTTCCAGATGACATGTTTAAGGCCACAAGATTAAAAAGCATTTTGGTACATTTGACATAACTTTAATTTTGAACTACAAGATTTAAAAGTCTTCTTTATTTTCTTAAACTCCATTCCAAATTAAACTAGGACATTCTTTTTGAAATGGAGGGAGTATCAATTATTATTTTATTGATTAGACTTTTATTTAACTTGGATATAAATAAACCAAGTAGATTAAAGGGAAAAGGGTCTGATATACCCCTTAACTTTGTCATTTAGAGCTGATATACCCCTCGTTATGAAAATGACTCATATATACCTCTACTTATACACAAATGACTCACATATACCCCTTTCCTCTAACGGAAATGAAAAAAAATTAATTTTAGATTAATTTTTATTATTTTTTATAAAAAACAAATATAATCCCATATGAGTATATTTAATTCTCCCCAAACATATTTTTTTTTTACTTTTTTTTGTTTTAATGACTAATTTAGATTTATTATTTTGATGGTCAAATTTATTTATGTTTCACTAATATTCTTGTAAAACTTATTATAGATGACCAAATTTGTTTCTTACAAATACAAAAATTAAATTACAATATAGACAAAAAAATAGTTTTAAATTATAATATAGCCACAAAAAAATAGTTTTAAATTTTTTTCTTTACACTAAGGAATGAAAGAAACTCAAATAGTTATCATCAAAAAGTCAAAAAATAATTTATATATGAAAAAAATTAAAATATACCTTGAACTTTGCTAGAAGAATCATATATACTCCTAAATAATTTTTAAGAAAATTAAAAGTCAAAAATATAAATTTAAAACTAATTTTTTCACTTCCGTTAAATGAAGGGTATATGTGAACTCATTTTGTAACGGTAGGGGTATATATGAGCCGTTTGTATAACGATAAGGATATATATAAATCACTTTCATAACAATCGGCATATTAACTCCAAATAACAAAGTTGAGGGATATATTTTTTTTAGATTAAATTAGTTAAGAAATAGTCCACGTGGCAACAAGGTCCATAATTGTCAAATAACTTCTTTTTTCGCTTTGGCGGTCAAACCTAATCTATTGCCTCAATATTTGTGCAATGTCCATACTATCATTAACCCACACGTGTCAAATTATCCTTTTCTTTCTCCCTTTAATCGTCACCGCTACACCACCTCTACCACCGCCATCATCAATTCCTCCGGCCTTCGTCAATTACAAAACTAATCATTCCACGTTCATGTAAGATTGAAAAATATTATATCAAAAAAATATGACGTAAACAATCTATTCTAATACGAGCAAATACAATACTCTACTAAACATTTTAATGTAAAACCATAGCACTTGAACAACATGAAAAGATTTATTTATTCCCAGCTTCTTTTCTTAAAAGTTCAGATTTTTCGATATTCACATAGTAACTCGATGAACAGAACGTCATCGTTTTCCCCTAAATATATATATTTTAGACTAGTTTCCCTTATCTTTTTCCCTTAATTACTGGTAATTAAAAGGGGAATTAACGCTAATTAAACAAGCTTACAACTAATTAAATAAAGCAAAAGTTCAAAAAGCATGCAGAATCTCCGATCATCAACTCCGGCAACTTTCCGATCAGACGAATTTTCACATGTCTTCCGGTGCCGGGAGAAGATTAAGGTCGAAATTAGCTTTTGGCTTGAGATCGTTACCCATAAAATCTATCACAGTTGATGAATCGGATTCACTCTTCATCATCCCACTCTGGCCGCCGGCAGCAGCACCTCCATCTCCACTACCGCCGCCGTTACGAATCACTCCAGCTCCTTGTAAATAGTACATCGGCGGAGTGATTCCTCCGGTAGGAGAATTCTGGAACAAAAACTTACCTACACCGTTGCTAAAAATACCAACGGATGATGAGCTTCCTAAGCTTAGATCCAACGGAACCGATTCCACCATTGCCGCCGCCGTAGCAGTCACCGTCACCGCCGCCGCCGCAACCGCAACCGCCGCAGACGATGACTCAACGGTACTAGTCTGACTCGGACTCCGATTCACATCCTCCGGCTGCATCACAATCTGAAAATTAGTTTTCGCTTTCACACCTCGAAACTCTCTCGCAGCTTTATCATACGCTCTCGCTGCTTCCTCAGCGGTATCAAACGTACCTAACCAAACACGGCATTTTTTCCCCGGATCTCTTATCTCCGCCGCATATCTTCCCCACGGCCTTTTCCTTACACCTCTGTAATGCACCTCCTTCACCGCCGCCGCTGTCACTGCCGTCGTCACCGTCACTGCCGTCGCCGCCGTCGTACATTTTTGCTTGGGCGCCATTTTCAGTTCGCCGCTTACCGGAAATGGACAATTATATATATATACGTATAGAATTTGAACAAGTCATTAGAGAATTAGGGCACGGTTGAGAGAAATCGTAGGGGGGAAAGTGCCTCCTTATATAGGAAGAAAACAACAGTCAATGGAGTCTTTGACTGATGAAAATGTAGGGACCATATAATATATGGTAGTTTTTTTTTTTTTTTTTCTTAAAATGGAAAAATTTGTAATATTAGTATATCAAATTTGGATAAATATTAATATTGGTCCTAGCAAATACATTTTTTAACAAATTAGGAATAAAGGTTAATATTATAAGAAGATGTATTTGTTAATGGTTAAATTGATAATCCAAATAAGGAGTATTATATATTAGTGACTTTAACATTTTACCTTATTTGTTAAATTTTAGTGTTACTTTAGTCGTAGGCAACACAGATTAGCATTACTCTATATTACGATATCTTTTCTCTTCTCAGCGTAAATTAATATTACGTTCATTTTAGATTTGATTGTAACAAACACAAACAATTAATGCTATTTCTTCAATTTATTGCATGAGTTTTTAGAAGGAATTAGAACGATTATGTCTTAGACAAAATTGATCAATGTAGAAAATTGTGTTGAACTTGTATTTTTGCTACTATTTCTATTTTAATGAATATCATGTATGTTTGATTAGATACATATTTTTCTTACTAGTTAAATAAAAAATCGAATAGTTGAGAATCAGAATTAAAAATTGATAATGAATATATTTTATTAATTTAATTATCAACTTAATATGTTGACAAATTGTAAATCAATAAATTGAATTACTAATATATAAGACCGGATCGATCAATGCACACCTCTAATAAATAGTAAGAGTGAATAATGGTGAATTTTATCAGGAATAATTAAAGGGTAAATATGTATGGTAAAAAAAACTACAAGAACCGAATCGAAATATATACATAAGTGAAGGCTTAAAAGTGCAATTATATATATGTACATATCTGAATGCCTGCATGGCTATTAGTTTTTATTTTATTTCTAAATGCCACGTGCATATATCCACACACTCAAAAAAAGAAATAAATAATAAATGGAAAATGCTAATTTTTAATTTGGAGTTATTACTTTTTACCTACTTCAAAAATATGGAGGAGATTTTTTTTTTTTTTTTTTTTTTTTTTTTTTTTTTTTTTGTGATTTTGAGGGAAATCACCAAATAATAAACATTTTTTTTCTATCGTTGAATTAAGTCATGAAAAGAATGATATATATGTTTGAGCTCATAATAAATAATAATTGTCCTTTACATTATGTGATAAAAAATTAAATATCACGTGTACACCATCGTATAAATTTGATTTGATCGTATATAATGATAAAAACTTATGCCGTAAAGTTTTTAGTTTTGCAATAAATAAAATATGATTTGTATAGTATAAATATCTTTCATATAACTTAGTAAATTCAATTTTGATAATTAAATATTGTAAATGGTACATATTTTATATTGAGTATTTTTGAATTGTCAAACGATCTCGGACATAATTTAAAAAATGTATAAAAGTCTTTATTTTTACGTTCATAAGATATAATTAGAGGTTCTAAATGAAGAGTAATATAATTACTTAAAACCAATATGAAGGAGAAAAAATATACTCCCTCCGTCCCATTTTATGTGGCAACATTTGATCGGGCACGGAGTTTAAGAAATAGATAAAGACTTTGAAATGTTTACCAAATTGCCCTTAAAAAAATAGACTTATTTTTCTCTCTCCTAATAAATGTATTGGAGTACTCTTTTCAAGATTAAGTGGGACCATCTCCTAATAAATGTATTGGAGTATTCTTTTCAAGATTAAGTGGGACCAACAAGGATAAAAGAGGAATTGTACCTTTAAATACTTACCAAATAAGGAAATGTGACATTCTTTTTGGGACTGACCAAAAAGGAAATGTTGCCACATAAAATGGGACGGAGGGAGTATTATTTTTTTCAATTTAGGTTTTATTGTTTTTTTAGGTTAGAAACATGGAGGAGACTTTTTTTTCTAATGATTTTGATGAAAAACACCGAATCACGCTGTAAATTAAAATTCTTTTTCCCCCTATCGTAGACTTTGGTGATGAAAGATTATTATAATAAATGTAAATTAAAATTCTTTTTCCCCCTATCGTAGACTTTGGTGATGAAAGATTATTATAATATATTTATTTAAACGCGATAATAAATTACATATCACATGCATGCTACGTTACCGTATAAAATTAATTTGATTACATATGCTTATAAAAGATTACGTCGTAATGTCTTCGAATAGACTGTCGTAATTAATAAATAATACTAATTGTCTTTTACGTTACACGACAATAGATTATATATATACCACGAGTATATTGACGTATAAAAGTAATTTGATTACGTATACTTATAAAAAGATTACATACGCTTATAAAAAGTTATATCGTAACGTTTTCGATTCTGCAATAAATAAAACATGACTAGTAAGGTATAAATGCATTTAAAATTACCGAATAAATGACAATTAACTCAATTTTGCTAACTAGATGGTAAATGACAGAGCTTAACTTGGACATTTTGGACTTTCAAATGATCTCGAACATAACTCGTAATAACTAGCTTTTACGGTATGCGACAATAAAGTACATATCACGCAGACATTGTCGTATAAAACTGATTTGATTACGTACGCTTATAAAAAGTTATATCGTAATATTTTCGATTCTGCAATAAATAAAACATGACTAGTAAGGTATAAATGCATTCAAATTTACCGAATAAATGACAATTAACTCAATTTTGCTAACTAGATGCCGTGAATGACAGAGCTTATCTTGGACATTTTGGACTTTCAAACAATCTCGAACATAACTCGTAATAACTATCTTTTACGGTACGCGGCAATAAAATACATATCACGCAGACATCGCCGTATAAAACTGATTTGATTACGTACGCTTATAAAAAGTTACATCGTAACATTTTTGATTCTGCAATAAATAAAACATGACTAGTAAGGTATAAATGCATTCAAATTTACCGAATAAATGACAATTAACTCAATTTTGCTAACTAGATGTCGTAAATGACATAGCTTATCTTGGCATTTTGGACTTTCAAACGATCTCGAACATAATTATCTTTTACGGTACGCGATAATAAAGTACATATCACGCAAACATCGCCGTATAAAACTGATTTGATTACGTACGCTTGTAAAAAGTTACGCCGTAACGGTTTTGATTCTGCAATGACTAAAATGTATAACTTGTAAAATATATCCGACTTCAAAATAATTGAGTAAATAACAAATAACACAATTGTGATAACTAAATATTGCAAACGATACAATTTTTATCTTGAACCGTTTAGACTATGAAACAATGTCGAACATAATTCAGAAGACATACCGTTTATATTTTATATGAATTAATTAGAGGTCCTAAACAATGTCGAACATATCACACAGGCATCGTCGTATAAAACTGATTTGATTACGTACGCTTATAAAAAGTTATAGCGTAACATTTTTGATTCTGCAATAAATAAAACACTACTAGTAAGGTATAAATGCATTCAAATTTACCGAATAAATGACAATTAACTCAATTTTGCTAACTAGAAGTCGTAAATGACAGAGCTTATCTTGGGCATTTTGGATTTTCAAACGATCTTGAACATAATTCATACTAACTATCTTTTACGGTACGCGATAATAAAGTACATATCGCACAGACATCGCCGTATAAAACTGATTTAATTATGTATGCTTATAAAAAATTACGCCGTAACGGTTTTGAATCTGCAATGAATATAATATATAACTTGTAAACTATAACCGCCTTCAAAATAAGTAAGTAAATAACAAATAACGCAATTATGATAACTAAATATTACAAATGATACAATTTTTACTATGAAACAATCTCGAACATAATTCAGAAGACATACCTTTTATATTTTATATGAAATATAATTAGAGGTCCTAAATAAAATGCAATATAATTACTTGAAAGTTCACAAAAAATAAAATTTAGTTCTTTTAATCTAAAATAGTGGATGTTTCACAAAATTAAAAAGATATTTCATTTTTTTTTTCAAATTTGCTATCAAAACATTTCTAATCCCTCATGAAATATTACCATTTTAAGCTAGAACATCAACTGTGTTGGACAGGGAGGGGTAACATGTAAAATTTAAAAAGTAAAGAAACTTGTAGTACAAGTAATTAAGTATATTATTAAAAGATATTTATGAGATCAAAATCTTAATTATCTTGAAAATGGAAAAGATAAAAGGAACTTGCAATTTTTAAAAAGTTTTCTTGAAATTCTATCTATTTCTACTATTAATAACACTTTATATAAAATACTCATCAGATTCACTTTTACTTTAACCTGTCAAAATAATTTATATTTAATCAAAATTATTTCTAATATTAATTATTTATTTTTCAAATTATCTTATAAAATCTAATGCTAAATATAAAATAAAAATAATAAATATAATAAAATAGTCATATTAATATATTTTTCAAAGTTCAAATCTGACGAGTAATGTTATGGTGGTCCATGGAGTGTTAAGTACTATTCCATTCTTAACCAAAGTTCTCGAATTTCAATCCCCCTAAATATAAAACCGTCTTTCTTAAAGAACGTTTTATCCTCCAATATTGGACTTTTCGACCAAACCCAAAAAAAATAAATGAAAAAACAGTATGAGAGTAAAAGAATATATTCAGTACTACTTCATTTTTTTTCCAAAAAAATAAAAATAAAAATTCTACACGTGTCAGCTAGAGAACTAAAAAGAAAAAAATACAGGGAAACCGGAAACAGACGGTAGAAATTGAGTTGTCGGCGGCGGTTGGATAAATCGCCGCACAAAATGGATTTGCTTTTATTTTTTTAATTTTATATATTAAGTGACGTTGGCGGCGGCTCAGTTTGTATTTTATGGCTTGGGTGGGGGCCAATAATATTTGATCGGCTGAGTCGGCGGAGCCAAGTAAAAAGAAGCCACGTATAGTACACGTGTTTGCTTTCATGCTATTGTAGTAATACTTTTAACTCTCCACTTACTACCAATCAACAAATATGGTGGATGGGGATGCCTA